ACAAACAATAATCTTCAAGCCTTTGAAAAAAAATAAAAGCGCAAGTCTTATACAGTAACAGTGAATGGTTTCAGGAGTCATTTCATGAGTAAGTTTTACACTGTAGGTTTTCAGATTAGTTTTGTTAGTACAAAAATGTGCTGATCAGAGTACCATAAATCCCCTATTAAGGCCTCCCTCTCAAATAAGTCCCCTCCCTCTAATATGTGCCCCCCTCCTTCTCAGGGGAGGAAAGTTAACAAACCCTCCCCTCCCCCCCACCTACCCAACCCCTAATTATTCTTCACTAATAAATGATAGACTGTATTAATCAATCACAATTGTAAAGCTTCGTGTGGACTGATCCATGATGGTTTATTTACCAACTGGAACTTCGGATTTGATTCTGATCCTCAGCTGCATGACCTCGAACCTTCTTGTGCTTGAGCTTTTCCACTTTGTATGCTAGTTCTTTATGGAGAACTGATACCATCGTCGTTTATAAATTAAATAAGCCCCCCCTCTTAAATAACCCCCCGTCTCTATTAAGCGCCCCCTAAAATAGGCTTTAAATAGATAAACCCCCAGGGGGGGAGGGGGGAGCTTAAAAGAGGATTTACGGTATATGCGCTTACATTGATCATGAATATCTCTGATAGAGGTATGCCACGCAAAATTCTATGATTCTACCTTGAATCCCTTGCCGAATCCGGGTATTCTGCAATCTAGCCGAATCCCTTTACAGACATCAACTTCATTTTTCATTTGATCATATAAAACATCCAGGCCATGCAATTTTACGTGTGCAGCTTCACTATTAAATCACGGTAATAAACAGTATAACCTAAAAGAGTACAATGTCAGTATTCAAGCCTACATTTACCTCAATTGAAATTGCACGAGCCTCAGAAACCCTTCAACTGTAAAGAAAATGTTTAAAAAATTAGACTGAAGAAGGGATAACCTAGGCAAACAAAGCCAACAAGTCTGCAGAATTCGCATACCCTTGTAGGCGGCCATCTTGTTTAAGCGATAAATTTACTCAAGCGTTTATGTAAGTACCACTATTGTGTCCAGAGACCAGATGATTACTATGGTGACCAGTCCCCTCGCGGTATTTTCACTTTTCGCGGTCCAAGATGGCCGAAGATGCGTCGAAGTTCGTTCTTCTGGCCTCACCAAATTGGTACTGTAGCAGTGTAGCGGACTGCAGTTTGACTAAGATATACGCCTTTGGGGCAAGGAACTGCGTGTATCTTTTAGACCTCAGCTCGGACAAGCCTGTTTTTCACGGACAGCTGGTCGGTCATACCGAGCGAGTGTCAAGCGTGTGTTTTTCAAAGCACAAACTGCACGCGAATTTTGTGGCTAGTGGCTCCGACGATAAAACAGTTAAAATATGGGATACAGAGACGAAGCTAAAACTGCTGGAACATAAGGCGCATAACGTAAGATCTGTAATTTTTTTTTTCAAATTATATGTTTATTTTCGCTCTAGAAAATATTCAAAATAACCCATGTGGCAGTGGAGAGTTCACTGGAAATGAAAGCCTGCTGAGAGCTAGACTCACATCCAGCTTACTTCATTGTTTTAAATTATGTTGTACTTTATTCCCTTATTGGACTTAAAAATCTTTTGCGCTGTTCCTGCAACTGCGAAAGAAAATTCGTCGCTTGCCTTGTCTTCATCGAGGTTACATAAACAGCTGATTCAGGCTACGCTCATACTATAACGGATAGCTTTTTGAGCCAGCACAAAAGGCTATCCGATACAGTATAAGCAGCAATAGCCTCGTACCGATACAAGTCGTTCACACACATCAAACAAAATGGGTGCTTTCCCTTCCGGTTTTAGGCGCAATTTTTATTGACAGTTGAATGAACATGTGACAATGAGGAATGAACATATGTGTTTTGAATCTTTGGCGTTGAGAACAATTGAGTTAATATTTCAGTGTTTTATCATGTTGATTTACTGTTCACTTAACAGTCGACTCCTCAACAAAATTTATGCCGGAACAGTTGGCCGAGAGGGCTTGATGAGCTTGATCACAGTCCTACACATGTAACTTTTCTCTCTGCCGATTTCTAGTCCTTACTGTTACTTATTTACTTCTGCTATAGTTTGAATTGTTGTTCTCACTACACCAAAGTATGACACAAAACCTACCATTTATCCCATATGTGACACTCAGAATGTGGTTTAGTGGGAACATACCTAAACAAAATACTTCCCCTCCCACCCCCCCCCCCTATTGTGAATGGGAGGAGAAGAGGGGGGTAATCTGATTCTCAACATTAAACAAGACTAAAAATGCTTGGTCACTAATTTTATGTTGCAAATTATTTCACTTTTTATATTGATAAAAAGCAGAATATTCCCTTGGCTGCACACTAGTTTTACGTCAATGTTTCTTTTTGGAAAATAATATACATGCATCAAGCATCAACCAATTTCACGGCATGAAAGAATACTTTTAGTACTACCAGCTCAAATTTCACTGGAAGGCAAAATACATGGGATAATTGTAAAGGTTTAGTTAAAAAAGCCAGCTTGAAAAATCAAGGCCTCATATACATGTGCTGCTTAAAATTGCAAAGAACAGATTTTGTGAAATCCCTTCCTATTTTCAGTGTTTTCCTAGATATTTTTATGTGTATTTTGTTTTGATTAATTTTATTTCACCTTTTTGTTTTGAAGGCAAAGATCACCTGCCTAACGTGGTCTCCGGTAATCACAGACCTTGTTGTATCAGGTACAGTAAGAAGAATTTTTCTCTTACAGCTACAGTTGATGTGTAACCAGCACACTATAGATAAAGTGATGTATAATTTCCATGCTATGCCCAATATAAAGGTGATGAAAAAGGACAGATCATTGCCTGGAGATATGAGGAAGGGAATGTGTTTGGTGGTAGCCCTGTGCAGGACCACATATTTTCAATGGCTCTGTCTTATTTGTCTGAAAGTGAACTTGCGGTCGGGTAAGTTTAAAGCTCAATTATGTTAAATAAATATATGAACTGTCTGGTTAATATAATTATCCTGCAACTTTTCACTCTCACAAGTCAGATTATGTGTCATTTAATAACCATGACTTAAGTGCCCCTGACGGAAGGTGTTTATTTAACCATTCTCTTTGGGGAATTTTGCTTGAAAAAGTTTTCAGAAGCTAATCCAGTCACTGTCTGGCCATACAGAGCCAAAACTGCCCAAAATGCCATTTATAGGTTGAGCACTCCATGGCCTTCTTATCTTTAATTTCGAGGTTTTGGGCTTAATAGTGACACAGCAGTCTCCACTTTTAACTTTTCTTATACCTCTTGTTTTCTTTCGCTTTTCTTAAGCCATTTTTTTCTTTCACTGGGCATTTACTAGCCTTTATTTTGGTGAGAAAAGTTTCGGGAAAGCTTTTAGTACCACAGGATTTGATGGAAGGAAGAACAGGTGGTTAGTGGAACAAGATTTTCATTGGCATTTTTGGGTCAACTTTGCGTGGTCTTTGACTGGATTGTGCTCATTCTGGCATGGTTTTAAAGATCTCTGCACAAGGTAGAGGTGACAAAGTTGTCCTTGACCATTAAAACGGATGATGTCACAAGCGCTATAAGGGATGTGGATCCACACAGGCAGGCATTTGACTTTGGTCTACAAATGACTTGCCGTAATAAGCTTAATGGTGCCATTTTTAAGCTAATCTTTAGTAGACCACTAAAGTACATTGTACACTGTAAATGCTACAAGTAATGTGTACAGGTATACTGACTCCCTTTAATTTGAGGAGAAATCAAAGTTGACCAATGTTGACTGACATTTTCATTCTCTTTATGTTTCTTAGGTACAAGAGTGGTCTAATATTGTTGCTGAATGTGTCAAGTGAGGGAGGTCTCACAATCATACACAAATTGCAAGGACATTCCAGTGAAATTCACAGCCTGGCTTTTTGTCCTACCCCACAAGAACACATTGATTTTGGTACATATTACATGCATTTTAAAAAAATCCTGCTTCTGATGTAACAGTCTTTGTTGTACATTTTAATCGTTCTCAAGTTAAACCAGAATTTCCTTTCTTTACTATGAATTAATGGAGCTAAGAAGACAAAGGTACATGTAATTTCTGAAGCAAACTAACTTGAGAACTGATTATTTCCACAACATTACTGTTATTAATAAGGGCCTGTCAAAAAGGCATAAGTGATGACTGATAACTACTTTTAGGAACAGACTTCTAAGCAGCTAACAGTTAAAATGGTACTGTACCTACAGTGTAACAAATGTATGACCACGCCCTTTACCATATTTCTGGTCACCTTGCTTATTTTACCAGATTTTATTTCTGCATGAGTGGTATCAATCAAAAGATGATTTCACATCAAACAGTTGCTGGAAAATTTTTAGCTTACATGTACAGTTTGTATCTCTGTAATTGATTTTTTGGATGGGCATGTCAAACAAATTAATAACTTAGAAGATTGTAAGCTAGATCAAGAAAAATAAGAATGGTTACTCTGTACATCTACAAGGTTATCTGCACTAAGTGTCCAGAGCTAAATTCTCCATGTAATGTGAACTTTGGAATTTTTCAGGTCCACTGCAGGACAAGACAAATGCTACTAAAGGGCACTTGTTAGTATCTGGAAGTAGAGACCAAACAGTAAGGTTATGGGATACAGCACAAGGCAAGGTACTATCAGTTAAACAGCTGCCAAAACGATCAGGACAGAGATGGAAAGACAAGCATGATTCACACTGGGCCAAGGACAGGCTGTGGCTGAGTCTGTGTTGGCCTGTAGCATCACCTGGCCATGTTATTACTAGTGGTCAAGGGTAAGTAGAATGCTGCGTAAACATAACGACTTTGTTTAATTTACCAGACATGTTTCGACAGTACATCCAGAATCTTCAGGGTTACATATTGTGAAATCGCCGTTGAATTTAAATTGCACGCGATGTTATAAAGTTTATTACATTGCATTGGCAATATTGCATACTAAAAAGGTCAAATTAGTGATGCTTAAATGTAGCTGTTTACAAGGATAGAGTCAGGCTCATGTGTTTCACCTGCTGGTTGAGGTCAGTAGAATGGTACCAATTCCTGGTAAATAATGTGATTGTGAGTAACATTTTTCTGCTGCCTGGTTAGGCTAGTGGGGAGAGCCCTCATTTGCACAGTGGGAGACACCGGCTCTAACCCAGGCCAGCCCAACAACTGCAGAGTTTTAAAGAACCTGGCAAGATCATCAGGAGACTGAGTTATTGTTGGCCTTATCTTCTTCATCCTTTTTTATCAATTGGAAGGGGATATAGAAGAACCTACACTCCTGTTCTAAAAGAGTAGGGGAGGTGGATCCTTGTGAGGTGGGCCATCTCATATATGGGGGAGGGGACTGTTTCAAGCCCGCAGTAATTCGCTTCTTGCCATTGCGTGACCATTCCTTAAAAAAATATAATTGGGAGGCTTCTCTTCTGTTGAAAAGGAAAACACATTGAAGTGTCCACGAGATCTGCCCAACTGTCATCAGAAAAAGGCTGGCTGAACTCTGAAACAAAGGTGCACCAATACTCACTGTTAACTACACATTTATTGTATGTTTGTTATTTTTGTAGAGGAGAACTTTTATTGTGGGATCTAAGTAAAGAAGGTAAAGAACAGTGTCAGATGTTTGGCCTAGGTCACTCCAGAATTGTATTCAACATCAGCTGTGATGTGGGTGGAACTAGAATAATGACTGTTTCTATGGATCGACAGGTGCAGTACACAATTAAAACAATTGGTACAATTAGTAATTATTGTATGAGGCTGAGTTTGATAAAAAGAGTTACACAGATGGAGGACAAAACGTGGATCATAACAAATTTTCATCTTTATCATTTCTGATATCTTTGTTAATGCTGGCGTAGTAAACGCTCAAGCTTGGAAGGTACACCTATCCTCCCCAAAAAAATCCAGTCGAGCCACCTTAAGCCAAAGAAAAAACGGTGAAATAAATCATTTTAAATAATCAATAACAATATTAGTATTTTAAACAATGGGGGAATTTATCAAGGTCCTTCCACAGTGTAAACTGGTGTAACAGTTCTCAAACATCAAAACGTTAATCCCGGCCGGAAAGGATCCAGATTGAGGTCGCGTTCTTGAAATTTGCTGTATCTGACATTTTTAAGACAATCTCAGGATTTCTCAGCTGTGATTATAATAATAGGGGACATGTTTATGACATATTATAGGACTTTTTTGTCTATTCATTCGCAGATTGTGATTTGGGATCCTCAACATTTACGTAGTCTCCACACCCTCCCCACCCTAGGTGGTTTTGCATATTCTGTGGCCATCTCTCCCCTTGATCCAGGTACTCTGGGTGTAGGGGTAGGAGACAACATGCTTCGTGTTTGGCAAACGACGTCTTCAATGGGGCCATATGAAACCTTGACTCTATGGCAGGGTATTAAGTCTAAAGTCATGGTGGTAAGTAGTAACATTAACTAACATATTGTAAGTATGCACGTGTCGGACACGTGCATAACCCTTCCTGGTATATTTCTTTACCCGACTCTGTGCAAGTTCTTTAAGGAGCTTCAAGTTACATGTAAGGTAGATTTCCACCGTCGCGCAATTTTTACATGCGTACGCACGTAAATTTAATTTACAGGCGTAAATGAAATAGAGGCAATGTATGAAGTGTTGAGCGAGTTTCAACTTTTACATTAACGGGCGACCTTTCACACATTACCCCTACTTTATTTATGCGCACGTACATTTTACGTGCGTAAATAAAATAGGGGTAATGTATGGAGTGTCGCGCCTAAACGTAGAAGGTGAACCTCCCTCAACTTTTACGTTTACGCGTGGCCTTTCATATATCGCCTCTATTTTATTTACGCTTGTAAAATTTACCTGCGTACAAGTGTACGTACGTACAAATTGCGCGACAGTGGAAATCCATCCCTATACAGCCACGCCAGGTTAAAAGCGGTGTTAAACGAGACGATTTGCAGCGAAATTTTTAGGGCAACAATGTTGGTACAACAATTGAAAGCAATGCGGGAACGCTGTGTTTCTCTGAAAATCTATGTTGCGAATTGTTCCCTGTAACGTGGCCTTAATTAGAAAAATTGTTCCCTGTAACGTGGCCTTAATTAGAAAACAACAACTCGGCACGTGCAGCACTGTTTTTGGTTCACTTCTTTGCCCTCACTGCAGACTACCAAAAAAATTTCGTGATTTAACCTGTTTGTGGTGGTAGTGTCCCATATCACAAGCACCACCACCTGCTGTAGCAGTGGCAGGGAAATCGTGGTAGTACTTGAGTCAAGGCTTTGTGGTAAAGAGGAGTATCAGCAGCACCGAAAGAAAATCAAGTCTTAGGCTACGTTCACACGCACAAGACGAATTTTCAGCCACTTGAAAATTCAAGCGTTTAGGTGTTCTACTCACACGGAACCACCTTAACCGCACGAAAGTACTCGTAGCCGTTCAAAGTTTCGTGTGGAAGGAGCAAAATTATTGAACGATCCCGTGTGAATGAAGTGTCAAATTTTTCAGCCGGCGCAAAATTCGTCCGAAAATGGACTGCACCTGGAAACTCGCACCTCCATGCACACACACTGCATGCGCACATACGAACTAATTGACGTGATTGTAGATCATCAACAATATTAAGTCTTTGTTGCTTGCTCTATTGTATAGGTTAAGTGGCATCCTCGTAAGGAAGGCCTTCTTGCTTTTGGAGCTGATGATGGACAAGTTGGAGTTTACAACATCATCAACAAGAGGTACTGTACCGGCACAGTGCAGCACAAGGATCATCCGTGTTCATGAAGACAACGGGATGGTTTTCATGTTGGACGAATAATCTGTCTGACTTCATCCGTCAGTTATCCTTCTGTGAAACGGCTATTCTTTATTGCATAAGCCTAGTGACAAACTCCCGGGAAAAACTCTTTGTTTGGCTGTTATCCCTTCCCGAGTCCCTAGTGGATTAACACTGAATACTCTTAAGGGCCAGTTGTTGCCTGTTTTATCGTACCTTTATATGTAGTTGCTTTTATAATGCTTAGTCCAGTGGCTTTATGGATCCTGCATGACAGAAACTCAGTTTTTAGCAGTGTTTTGATGTTTTTTCTTGTAGAGCCGAGATGTCTGCAACATATCACAAGAAAACAGTGTATTCTCTCTCCTGGGGACCACCTTGCCCTAAAGCAGGTACTTTTAGTTATTTCAACCTACCCCTATCCTGTAGCAGTTTCGCTTGAAACTCAAAGATTGCAGCTTGTTCTGGTGAAAAGTTTTTGGAAAAGATGAAGGGCCTCATCTGTATTACCTTTTTTTTCGTTCCCTCGTTCTGAAATAACCAACCTGACTATAGCATGCCTGCACCTGTCCATTTTGTCAAACCGTGCTCAGTCAACGCATAGTTAACTTGTTATTTCGAGATGACCACTCCCTTGTACACCTTGTAGGTGTTTTTTTAGTTGCCTGCTCAAGTGCCTGGTTGATCCCACTTCGAACAGAATTGAATTGGAATCAGCTGGTTTCGACCGCCGGTTTTGTTTTGTTTGTTTTGCTTGCAAACGTAAACGCTGGAGAGTTCTATCTGCCCGTTACTAAATTGCACTTTAAAATTGGTGTGCGGGATATAGCGCAAGTCGATGCTGATGTTTTGGCGCCGTCGTGATTCGCGGTTTTAGATGTTCCATTATTGTTATGAAATCGATTGTGTTTAGCTAAACAGGTCTAACAGTTGTTTTGTTACTTTTGATGTTGTTATTGTTATTGTCACTGGTTAGGTAATGAAGACAGCACCACTCACAATCTGTACAGCTGTGCAGGAGATGGGAGCGTCCTGCAGCACAGAACTGGACATTTCATGGATGACCCTGTGGACGTTAACGCTCTGATCTTGAAAACTAACAATCTTAAGGTAAAGTGTGAAAATTTATTACAAGCCTCTTCTATGAAAATGTGGATTGTAGAAAGTCGATACAAGACTGACCCCACGTTAGCTGCGACGGAATACAAAGTTTTTCTTAGCAGATGTGTTTCAGTGATGTATTGTTTACGAAATGCGTACTTAGTACTTGCCAATGACATACAGTCACGACAACCTGCAGAAACTTGAACGTTTTTTACGTCAAGTTAAACAAAACACAGAACGCAGCTATTAGAAGTATGGGTACGAACACCAGCTTATAAAAGACAATTTTCGTTGTCCCGATGTAAACGCTTATACATGTATATTTTCTCTTAAATTAGCCCGCTCAATATAAATGTTGTGGTTCAATTTTATCATTGGTTTAAATTTTCTTTTCTTTTGTTTTTGGGTATGATAATGTATGACAATAACATGATAATGAGCTTGAAACAAAAGAAAAGAAAATTTAAACCAAGGATAAAATTGAACCACAACATAAACAAGAGTTGGTACAGACAACAGACACATTGCGTGACCGGCCTTAGCCTGCGAGCAAGCTCTCCATTTGGGGGATATCGTGAAAAGTAGACGTGCGAGAGGAGACGCGACGGCCGCTCGCTCGCGCGTGCTCGCGAGGCTCGCGCGTGCTCGCCCAAACAGGAGAGTTGCTCGCAGGCTAGACCGGGGTGAGACGCTATTTTAATACAAAAACTACCGACACTGGTTAGCCTGACTGATGATCTATGCTCTGTATACGTCTTACCGGGAAGTTCGGGTTGTTGAACGTTAAACTTGAAATGAAAGGCCGGGCAAAATTACAGTGTTTGAAACTCTGATCCGGCGAAGTATCAGTTATTTGAAGTACAGTACAGTTCAAACTAACGAGCGAAGTTCTCTCCTCCTTGTATAACATTAGTAATGTTCAGTCAGACGACATCTACGTGTACGCGTAAATTACTCGCACCCGTAGCTGTAAATACGGGTAGGTGGCGTGGTAGAGCGGTGATGCCATTATCATATCTGGAAATCATAAATGCCTTCTCTATAACTACGTGCAAACATGTTGGCCTACCTGAACCCGCATAGAATAACAGTGTATCTTGAGGTCTCTATCGTCCCTGTTGCTTTTATGCTGTGCGATTTAATCATTGTGTCAATTCTTTGTATCAATATACAGTGTATGTTATACGGACACTTTGGCCTGGCCCTTTAGTGTCTTAAATCAGCGAGTCAGTTCTGTAGTTTGAGTATCAGTTTTTTGAGGGGTGGCATTTATTATTGTTCTTGTGTTGTTGCGAAAACATTTGCTTTGCTCTTTTGATCACAAAATATATGACAAAAACATACATATCTGGGACTCCCTTCACTACCCTACTGACTTTTTTTACCCCTACTTTCAAAATCTGTACGGACAAGGTACGCTGACGTCATAACCAAATTCCCTGGTATCGCTAGGTTTCCAGTTCTAAATTTCTATCCCATGATAGCTATGGGGCTCCGCTATAACAAAAAAAATTAGTGTATAGTTTCATGTCATGAGTCACGTTCATTATGATACTCTTAAGTAATGAACTTCTACATTTTACGTTGTTGCTCGTATACCCACAGCACAAGCCATTTGGTCGCACAGATGTGTCTTGGAATCTAGATGGTACAGTTTTGGCTCTGGGTAATGAAGACGGGTGAGTGTTTTGATATATGATTTTTCGATTAAGGTGTATTTTGTTCCGTAGCAAAATTAAGACATCCAGTTCTGGCGATGAAATCATTTCCAAATTCACCGTGTACAAGAAACTATTCCTGATGCCCATCTGTGGTGGCGATTCAAATCTGTCAAAACTAGCTGGCCAAATCAGTCAGTAGAGAGCTTTAAATTCTGAGACGAGGACGACTACGAGTACGAGATTTTCTCAATACTGAGTATTGTTCAGGCGTGAACATCATCATCCCTGATGATGCCGTTGATCGGCGAAAGCTTGGATTTCAATTCTATTTTTTAGAACAATATTTTTATTTTTACAATCATGCTGCTGAAGAACAACATGAACAGATTATCAGCCATTGTTTTTGGTTTATCAATGCAGGTCAATTGAAGTGTATGTACCTCCAGACTTGATGCAGGTGGCTATAATTATTACCCACAAGAAAAGCATCACTACGCTTGTATGGCATCATGGATACAGCGAGCTTAACACCTCAGGTTAAAATAACGTGCCTTATTTTTGTCCAGTTTGACTGTGAAGATGACTACCGCACCGGTTGTCGAAACGTCAGTAACTGTGAACAACAGGAGTCCTATTCAGGACTACGGCCACCCGGACGATGAGGTCCCCAATAGGGTTTTTCAATCCCGTAATCCCGACCCAAAATTTCGTGCAATCCCGTAATCTGGAGGATTATTTTTGGCATCCCACCTCCCAAGCATACTTTCAATCCCAAAACTCGCCCCGATTTTGCTTTAAAATCTCGCATCCCGAGCTTGAAATAAGGGAAATCCCGAATCCCGAAAAATCTTCGCGCAATCCCGTAATCCTGAGGGTTATTTTTGGCATCCCACCTCCTAAGCATACTTTTAATCCCGAAACTCGCCCCGATTTTGCTTTAAAATCTCGAATCCCGAGCTTCAAATAAGGGAAGTCCCGGATCCCGAAAAACCTTTTGGAGGTCTTTGACGATCACACTCAACCTACTTATAAAATGACTCCTGGGTTCAAAGCTTTCACAGTGTTTAGAGGATAAAACCTTGTGGGGTTGCTAAGTAGCCTGCGTGGCAGCTGCAAAAAAGGGGGAGGGGGAGGAGAGGTCAACAAAAATGCGAAAGGGATAGGGGAGGATCCCTTTTCCCCTCTCCCTTCCTCTCCCTCCCTTTCGACACCTACCAGTAAGGGCACCGCGTTATCTCAACGCTGGACTCTTTATCCTGTGTTGCTGGTCTCACGCCGATCATCAGCTGGATTTATTCAAATCCTGGGCCAAGCATGAAATTACCCACCTGGTTTGCCTTCTGTCAGTTAGGATTCTTTCCTGGGAAGCACGTTAGGGAAGTTTGCAGACAGACAGACAGGAGCATAGGAGCAGGAGGGAACAAGGGGAGGGGCCCGGGGGGCCACCCCCGCCTTTATTTTTAGAGCAAACTGAGGCCCGAAGGGCTATAAAAAATTGGGGGGAGACCGGGTCCCCCCATTTATCAAAGGGTCTGGATGACCGGGCTCCCCCCCTTATCTCAAGGTCTGGACCCGACACTGAGGAGTTTCCTGCTATAACCTTCAAACCCTGATGTTTTTAAGGGCATTTATTACCTATTGCCCGGTACTCTGACATTCCATTTTCTTGTTAGGCTTAACTGTAGATGATAGTGGAAGCTGTAAGTACTGGCTGGCTTCAGGATCTAACGAGTCCACGATACATGTCCATGATCTGAGCAGCTTGCTGGGTACGATGTGTGTGTGTGTGTGTTTACGTGGTGACGTCATCGTCTGTCTGTTTGTGCAACATCTTGTCATTTAATCGAGTGTAGTGAAACTCATCAGAAGTAGGCAAACACAATCGATTATTCTTTTTCCAGATGCTTGGCACAACGGCCTGTCAATGATTTAATCGCTGTTGGTTTTAAGCACCTTGTTGTTCGTTCCTCTTTCCTAGAAGTTAAACTACGAGAGATGCAGTTCATGCAAATTGACACATATCGTTAATGCATCTGACCTTTATTTCGATCATTGAAAAGATTTGGGCTCAAGCGGCATAAATTTTGCATTTCCTAACCGCAAAGTTCTCGTGATAAAAAACATAAAATTTCCCGTGTATGGTATAGATTTTTAAAATTAATGATTTCAGCTTGAAGACGTACTCCCATTTATCGTTCCGGAAACTAATATGTTTGTACTGTTTACAATCAGGTCCGTCATCCGGCCCCAGCCCTCGCTTCGCTCCCCTTACTGAGTCTTTTAGACAGCTGCCAGGTCACTCAGGCCGTGTCACATGTTTGAGCTGGAGTCCACATCAGTCTGAATTGCTGTTATCTTCGTCGTATGATGGGACTGCGCAGGTACGAAAACAACGTGGCTTTAATGTGGGGAAAAGTGTCCTTTGTCCTAAATATTTTATGTGTGTCATATACCAAGGAAAACAATTTCGAATAAAATTTCCCCCTGGGGTAAAGAAACTGTTCAATGAAAGAGTGGTCGTACAAGTGGAAAACGACTTCCCCCTACGACCACTCCCACTTCTCTCCCCCACCCAGTGTAACCCATGATAAACAAACTTTAAACTCTTGTTATATTCACACGCCTCGCAGTAATGTATTGGTCATGGTAAGGGGAGCTTTCTCCAGATCTTGGTCTTAGTAGACCAAGAACCGTTTTTGTCTCTGTTTCAAGGTTTGGGATGTAAGGAAAGGAGAACCACTGTACAATTTCCGCGGGCACAGCAGCCGTGTGATGTGTGTAGTGTGGAGTTATCTGGATGCTGACCTTGTGTACAGTGGTGGAGAGGATGGTACTGTACGGCCCTGGAAACCGTCACTTCAGCAGAATCGACAACCACCGGTGCCAGGTACTTTAAGAATTAAAACAGAACTGAATGCAAGGCTGGCAATACGGCAAAGGGCTGATTTTATTTGAGGCCAACAAAATTAGCCTTACTCAGGGCCAGAGTTGCAATGAAAGGGAATACTATAACGGCTCCCTGAGGATGCTCAACTCTTGGCGTCCAGTTTGTGGGAAATTCGTAAAAAGGAGAGTTAAATAGAAAAAACAAACAAACAATAAAAAAACACTAAACAAGAAGAAAAAAACGGCAAAAGACTACTTTGTAGCACGTTCTACTCTCTGAATGCCTTGAACAGGCCACACTGAAGACATCTCCAGGCCCTCACATCGTGAAAAACAGCACTGAGAAAAAGGCGCGGAAATTATGCATTACGTGCTAAAAGACAAAAAAGAAATCGCAGATTGGAATTTCAGCGCCTAAATCATTCGCTTTCAGTCGGTCAGTTTTCTGTGAGTGGCTCCTCCAATTCCAATCTAATCACCCATTTGTTAGGAAATTTGTCATAGGATGATAATTAAAAACTGTTTTCACCAAGCTCGTCATTCTGACCCTCTAGTAATTTTTATAACAGAAAAATAAAAAGAATCTTTTTAAGACTGTTTAGGCGTTTATATGACAGTATTACTGTTAAATGGTGTGGCTGATCCAATTTTTTTCTCCATTTTAATACAGAAAAGAAATCGTCTCATTCTACAAGCAAGTCCTCAAAGAGCAAAAAGAGCAAACACAAGCCAAAAGGAAAGACAGAGACTACAGAAGTTCACACTGAATCTTGGCGGGAAGAAAGAGAACCCAAACTTGATAGCAATGAAGCAAGGACTGTCCATAGTCACCTGAACAGCAGGGTTATCTCACAGGAAACTGAAGTAAGTTCTCACTTGGAGACGAATGGATCCCAGTCAAACCTCAATGTGGCTACAAGCGAAACAGGTGAGATTGTAAAATCCCAGCAGGATGAGAGGGAAAAGAAAGCAAATGTGGAGGAAAATGAGGAGAAGAATGTGAAAGAGAATGGAGACGAAGTGACACGTGCAGCTGAGTTGAAGGGGGAGAAACCTGAAAGTGAAGAGATGAATCCACCAGAGATCAATTCTCCCGAGCTGACCATGACTGAACAGAGGAAGGCTGGTATGGTGTTTCAACAAGAACCAGTTGTTCCCCTGCGTTCCAGAGGTAAACTGGTTTCTTTCATTTTGTCAAAACTTCGAACACTGATTTTATTCACAGACATCATACAAGGAAGTAGCTTCTCACGCAGACGTTCTTAGAGCTACGACACACGTCCTGTCACGCGTTCCTTGACGTGTGACGAAGCCCCAAGAACGTCTGTTTGAGAGACTAACAAGGAAGAATATTCTAGCAAATACTGGCAAGTGTAACCCGTTTGAATACATTTCATTCCTCAGTCACACTTAAAGCATCCTCATCCTCCTCCACAAAGATGTTCTTAGAGCTTCGTCACGCGTCCCGTCACGCGTTCCAACACGTTTCTTAACGCGTAACGAAGCCCTAAGAACGTCCGCGTGGGAGACTAAGAAAGAAAAAGTCCTTGCCCATACTGGCGAATGTAACTCGTTTGAATACTTCTCATTCCTCAGTCACACTTGAAGCATCGTCACGCGTCACGCCTTCCTTAACGCATGACTAAGCCCTACGAACGTCTGCGTGGGAGACTAACGAAGAAGAATATCCTTGCACATACAGTAGCTCAGTAACTCGCTTGAATACTTTTCATTCCTCAGTCACACTTGAAGCATCCTCATCGTCTTCCTCCAAGAAAAAGAGAAAAGTCAAATCCATGCTGCCAATGTCTGCTGTTGCTGACAACAAATCCAAAGCAGCCGCACAAGAAGAATGCGTGGAGCTGGCAAAGATTATCTACGGTGAGTTCATCCTGAAATACCTCAACCCCTCGGAAAGGGTTGTTGCTCCGTACCTATATCGTGTTCTAAATTCCCAAAGGTCGTGATAGAACGGGTTTAGTGTGAGTTGAACGCGAAATAAATTTCGCTGCATTTTCGATGGGCTCTTTGCAGCTAGTCACTGAGTCGCTTGGTACAAAATACACTATGCTGGAGAGCAGGAAATGCACGTAGGCAAGAAAACAATGAAGATTAACGTTTTGTGTTATGAGAGCTTTTTGTTTGTCTTATCCTAGTGCGTTGCCTGTTCTCCAGCAGGGCGTTTTTTTTGCCACGTGACTGATCAGCTGCAAAACAGCAAACCGGGGCCTATAGACCTCTTTCATAATGGCGGCCTATTAATATATTATTTTATATGTATGATAATTAGCCTTTTTGACCTCGTTAGCATGTGTAAAATACAAAAGCATTCTTACTTTCAAACGAGGTCAGAAAGGCTAATTATCATCCATATAAAAGAATATATTAATAAGCCGCCAATTTGAAAGAGGTCTATTGTTCTACTCAGTGATATTCGTGCCGCTTCCTCAACTAATCAGTGACTATACCGAAACGAATTGGCGCCAGTGATATTGCTTTCTTATTAAACCCTTCATCCCGCTTGTCCAGTCATTAGGTCAGCTATTTAGCGAGACAATGACAGAATTTATAAAATGCTTGCTAATGATGATGGCAGGTGTACTTGGGTTACCCACAATCACTGATTACGTAGAGAGACCCGCGCCAGGACATTATGGTGGTCTACTTGAAATATCTGTAAAATCATATCCAAAAACTCTCGTCGGTCTGTGATTAATTTTAAATAAATCGACAGCATTTAAACTTTTTTGATAACCTGCTCATTTTTCAGATCCAGGCCAAGCTGATAATAAGACTTCAGAAGATTCAGGGGCACACAGCATTGCTGGCTCAGAGGAACTTGTAAACTTTGGGCTATTTGCTGATAGGTGTGGAGCTTACAGGATGCTTGCCACCGAGGGTATTTACACCCTTTTAATTCTAGTCCTTTTTTTCTTTCTGATTAACAATGTCAGGCTCTAATTTTTCTATTGTCTAGTTTCTTTGCTCACGACGTGCTGAACGATAAAAGTCATTTTTATAACCGAATGTTGCGTGATGTGTTATAAAATCGTAAATGAATTCAGTTTCAACCTTGCCACTTTGGGAGGCCTCAACAATATTATAAACCAGGAATACATTAGCTTGTCTCTTTGCAGCTATGGACGGCCAAGTACAAATATATCATTATCCACTCCCCCCGAGGCTTTTTATGGATAATTTATGACAGTGTGTGAGTGATCGGGGAGACTTTACCAGACTCCTGGTAGGAGCAAATGGCTCGCTGTTGTTTTACAATCATGCGTTATGAGTGCCCCTCTTGTAAATTGGAACTAAGATAAATTCACTGATAGAGGTTTCCGTTTTGTCACTGGTGCTTTTTGCACGTCCCACTGAGTCTAGTGAAAGTACTCTATTAAAAGACCAGCCCTACGCTCTTTCTTCTTCATGCGAGTAGACTAGAATCTCTGATTCCTTTTTGTAGGTCAGCATCACGAGGAGAGTGGTAACCTTGACTACAAACTTCAGCTGGAGATCTGGAAAGGGAATTTAGGTGGAGCGCTGGAGATGGCTACTAAAAGCAAACAGCTCAATGACTGGCTTGTGGCTCTCAGTCCTCTAGGTAACCCGGTATTCCTTTCTTACATAATCTGCGTCCACTCAAAGTACAATCTTGCCATTTCAATGTCCGCTCAACAACAAGAACAGCAACAACAACCTTTATTCCCTATTCCAAAAACTATTTTGAGCAATGTGTACAAGCTTTCGGCGCACTGATTTCTGGGATCGTTTCGGTGGACAAGCCTCGCTTATGATTGGTTAATGATTGCCGTGAATATCATCGACCAGTCATAACTAACGTTTGTGCACCCAAGCGATCCCAGTAATCACTGCGCCCAAAACTTGTACCCATTCTCACTGGAGAATTATAACAGTAGTAACACAACTTTACACAAAGGAATTCAATGCAACTAATGCATATTTTAATGTTACTAATTACCACAGGGCTAAAGGACCAAAAAGACTCCGTTTAGATATATTAAACCTGCGCCTATTGAGAATGGATTGAGCCAAAGCAAATGCGTTAAGATAAAGTGATTATTAGATAACAATGTAACATTTCCGTAGCTTTTCTGTAGAGTTAAGTATCGAAGGTAAACGAACACCCTCACGACCCGGCGGCACTAAGTGTTCGTCTCAGAGAGATTTTATTCTTATAGAGAGTCATCTAAAAGGAGTAAAGGGTAGCAGAGACCAACTCGAGGTGTCCGTTTTACGTAAGTGTCCGTCTTATAGAGGTGTCCGTTCAGAGAGAGTCGACCGTATAATTATGCTTAAATGTCAGTTAAAAACTGCCTCGCAGATGCAGGTTGGATACCTGAGTCATCCAGCATAATTCAGCATTACTGGCAGGAAAATGGCCACCGTTCTTTCCGAAAGTCCCGGAAAGTTTTGGTAAATGGGAGACAACCTCTCCTAAAAAATTGTTATTTTTAAGAAACCGTTTAAAACAATCTACCCATCTACCCATTTAATTGTTGTTTTAAACGAAAGGAATTGTAAATAGTGTTTTGACGGAATAGTTTTTTTTAAGTGAATTAATTGTAAATAGGATTTTAATAGTTAGCATTGTTATCAATATAATATATTCGATTATTAAAAATTATCTACCCATCCTTATGACAACTTCAGTATCATGAGTAGATTGAATGTAAAAGCAAGTAATAATTGTGCAATATAACGTAGCACTGGTGAACTCCACCGGCGAGTAAGGAAACCTAACAGAAAGGTTAAAATTCCTTAAAAGGACAGTTCTTGAGTCAAATTAAAACGGTAAATGCTTCAAGTCCAACGCACTTTTGGAACTGAAGTGATAATATACTGATTCAACTCTAAACAGAAAAAATAAATTCAGAAAACTGGCCAGAATAAATGCTAGAATAGCTGTCTTTCAAGCCGTAAAATGTAAAGGTGACACCCGATCTGTTTATAGTTTTTAGCCCTTTAGTCCCGTATCCAGAGGGAGGACCGGATATTAACGCTTCAATGTGATACCTAGTGTTGCTCTTCATGTCAGCTCCACAGTCAAACGATACTTGAAATCCATAATATCTAGGACAACATCCATAAGGCAAAAGCTCTGAGGAGTACGTTCCTGATTTGGACACTATAGTTGTATTGTTACTAACATTCTTTACCTCCAATGTCACTGTGTAGCTGGAGTTGTATCTGCCAATCAAGCAGACTCCATGCAATGTAATACTCTGGTCCGCAGCAAAAGCAAGTGAGTGTTTGCCCACGTCATAGCGAATTCCCTCATGTAGGGCACTCGGCGTTGTGAAAGAAATAAATCTACTGAAGCGATCATGATTGACAAGAGGCCGTCTTTGAGTCTTCGAGAACCCGACAGGAGAGGTCTGTATTGTAAAAAACTTAAACAAGCCAGTTGTTTCATCTGGAGTAAGAATGTTGGTGTCAACGACAACAGAAGCAAACTCCTGTACTGACATAACCGGGAAGCGTATTGCTTTAATTATTTGTTCTCCCAGAATTCTTCTTTTCATTTCACCATCTTCTGCCAAACCTTGCTTTTGACATTGTTTTCTAGCCCAACGATCTACAGCTTGAAACAATACTACTTCTCGAATCTTCAGAGAGTCTCGAGTTACTACTGCTTCAAGTAAGGACTTGTCAATTGTCTCGAATCCGTCCGGTTCCAAAGCCTCGTCTGTTTCCTGATCAATAAATTTCCAGCATCGATCTACGATGACCCCCTCATGATACTTCTGTGCAAATGACAGGATATCGAAAACATTTGACGGATCTATCTTTTCTTTCAGATATTCCGTGCATTTATCAGCTAGTGAAGGCACGATGTATTTCTTGGCCAAGTATAACACCCCCATCACATTACTTCCGCTTAAATTCACTTCATCGCTGTAAATGTAGCGAAACAACTCCAACAGACTCTCGTAATCACAGTCAGGCAGTTCAATAGTGTCTTTTGTCTCCGCCAGTTCGCCGTAAAACATGGCTTCAAACACAGGACTACCAATCGCCAGTATGAATTTGTGTGCTGCAATCAATTGGGTACTTTCGCCATTGCTGTTTGCGGCAACAAACTTCACATCGCTCAAGCGATCGTTGTTGAGCAAAAACGTGGTTCTTTCTCTGATAGTCGGTCTTGTTGTCTGCCAGTCTGCTTTGAGGGACATATTCGTCTTGTAGTAAGGCCGTTTTAAAACGTCAGTCTTTCTCTGTTTTTGTTTCTGAAACCCGCAACGAAAGACAGCATGCAGAGCAGCAGAGCAGTTAATGCAGTTGTTCCAGAATAGGTAGCGCACGCGCAGACAGAATGCCCCTCCGTTAGCATTTAGCCGCTTGTGTGCTACGCATATCAAATAACCAAACCTAAGAAGTCACGCGATCTTTTGTGGAATATCACGCGATGTCTTTAAAGAGGTCAGAGTACACGCAGCGAAGTTTGAACTAAATATATTAAATCTCGTGCTTGGATGCGGCGCTTGGGGGAATAAATCAGAAGAAATCACCTTGAGGTTCAGAGATTAATAATACATTTATCTTGTTTTATTCCCACAGTCTTTGGAGTTGGTCTATTACTGAATGCCAAATGAATCTTTATCAGTCTTCTCTTTACAAATGCAGTGTTATAAGTGTTATATATTATGCACAATCTATTGTCAAGAATTGTAATCATCAATCCAATCTTTTAACCATTGTGGCACGCTATTTGAGGCACCGACGTCTTGCAAATTTCATTTTTGATTGACGTTTTGCACGACTTTAGGTCTGACCTACATTGAACCATAAAAGAAACTCTTTTTATTGGTGATCTTCAGCCATTCTTTTAATGAATTCGTTAGCAGCGAAAAGTTGTATCTTTACTAATTAGTTTTACACGTGTGTGTTTTACATGCCAGTGCATGCACCGTGTCATAGTTTCTTTTTGTTTTACCGTTTTCTTTATTTAGTTGTAGTATTGTATTAACTCCTTTGTTTTTGTCAATACTATCACACTAGCTACTGAAATTACTGTTATTATATATTTCAAAATTTTAAGCTTACAGTTACTTCCGAAGATGTATGTTGAGACATACAAAACGTTAAGTCAGTGAATGAAATTCTATTTTAGCTATGCGCTCGTTTAGCTTCATGTTTGTCACCGCAATTTGCGTTTTATTTCTAGTCAAGCTTCGTTACCCTAAGAAGAAAGGCATTTATGATTTCAATACAGAGTTTCCATAGAAAACATTAGATATTCGGCGTTTTCGTCTCTGTCCCATTATGGCTCTTAATATTTTCCTTTTCCATTTTGCTAGCCGGGCGTGACGTATGGTTGAGTATCACTCGAGCATACGCTGACCAGCTAGCATCGCAGGGATCTTATCATCGTGCGGTACTGTATTACCTGGCCTGTCATGACACGTACAAGGCTATAGAGGTGTTCAAAACTCAGGCTATGTACAGGTACGGCTGTTTTTGAAGAGGTATTTGATACAGAATTTAGCACTGACTCCAGTATAAGATAATTACACGAGGAGAAAAGTTCAGCATAGGAAACATTTGGGTTCGCTTTCAAGGCTTTTTTATCACAAGGTTGTGAGTGTTGTGAAGGAAGTGTAAGCACCGGTACCCCAAGCTCAAGAGCGAGTTGCGTAACAGAAATATATATGAGTTTGTATGGAAAACTTATCGATCGTTATTTAGAGCATTAAAATAGAAATAAGTATACATCAAAACTTCCTACCTTTTCTTCTTGTCTTGCTTGTGGTATGTTCTTAGCATTTCTGGCCGTTTCAGCGCGATTTTAGCGAGTTTTAAATCTACCGTTGTTGTAGAACTAAAACTCGCTAAAATCGCGCTGAAACGGCCAGAAATGCTAAAACATACCACAAACAAGACAAGGTGACCAGTCCGCCATCTTCATAACGTCATCAAGTGTAACATTTACGCCCCTGACAATTCTGTCTTTAAGAAAAGTGAACAAATTGACACAATTCTCTTTCCATTGTATTTCAGAGAGGCCATCGCATTGGCCAAAGTTCGACTGTCCCCCCTAGACCCAGTCCTCTTCGATCTTTACAGTACCTGGGCTAGGAAGTTGGAGACTGACAGTTCGTTTGAACAAGCCGCTAAATGGTAAGGTTACTGGAGCTATCCAAGTGATTTATGTAGTTGACCCAAAACGTCTTGCTAGAGGGTATGGAAAGCAATTAGACATCAACAATAAGAGTTTTCTTTGTTTTCATTCTCAAGGTACTAACCAGCAAGCCCTGTGCAATTATCTTATCACGTGAATGGTTACTATAGCATGGCATTCGAATCCTCCCCCTCCCCTCTCCCCTCCCTTATAAGTGTTTAACTTTATTATGCCAGCATAAGAATGTCTTCATGTATCAAGCGTTCACACGTTTAAGAGTCGTAAAAGAAATACATGAAGAAAGTGTCGGGGGAGTGCGATATATGCTATGAAGGTACTGTAATGTCTTTAGAAACGCTCAGCGTGGAGAAAAACTTCTGGCTCTAGACTAATCGACGCTGAAATGTGTTTTCGGCGATGGTTTGGTAGCCTCCCACGCGGCCATTTTTGTCCTCTCACGCAACATTCCTCCCCAAGGAACAGGAGAAGCGTTGCGTGACGAGACAAACACGGCTGTGTGGGATACTAATGGTTTGAAGACAATATAAACAACAAACTCTGTGTTGGTTGTTTTAGTTACTTGGGAGTCCATTCATCATGCGATGCAGTGCGGGTATTGAGCCGTCGTGGTGATCAGTTCTCACTTAGGACAGCATTACAGGTATGGTTAAAAGGGTTTGCCTGTTATGAGTTCCCACTTAGGTGAATGCTTAGGTGTATATTTACCCGAGCAAGTCCTTGATTTGGTCGCTTCATGTCAGAGACTCTGGATTCCGGTATCCGCCTAGGAAATTTTTGCTTGTGGAATCCGAATCCTGGGTTTTGGAATCCGGAATCCCATGGACGATTGGAATTCTGACTCCAGAGTTCTAATGACAAAGAATCCGGAATCCAGTACCTGGGAACCAGAATCCACGGCATGGAATCCAGAATTTAAGACTGTCTTGTCTTGAGGCGAATTTTTAAACGGCTAGTTTCAAAGACGCAATCTTGGGACTTTGTACACTGTTCTGTGGTTGGACGTATTTTCAGTATCTAATTTGCGTCCAAAATTTGCGCTCAACGATTTTTGCATTTTGGAAAGTTTAACCTACGTTTTCCAAGTTTGTTGTTTGTAATACGTGTTCTCCTCCATGTTAACCTTTTGGTGATTCTCTAGTTTGAAGTCTCGTTCATTTTTAAAATAATTGTTTTCTTTGCGAAAAAACCGCATCGCGACATCTTTTCACGGTTCACAAGCTTTATCTTTTGCGGCGTGATTTTATGGTTGCGTTAAACATAGCCCGTTTCGTCACGTTAAGCTCTGCACTTGGAGGTACACAGCGTGACATAATAACGACATCATTCTTTTTGTGTGCTCTTATTTTAGGTTGCGTTACTTTCTGATGAATCTGAACTTGCCGTATCTCTCAGCCTACGCCTCGCACACTCTTATTTGATGGCGTCAAACTGGCAGGAGGCCCATGAAGTCTTGACCAGCTGCCCGGGAGTAGAGGTGAAAATAACCAAAAAAGTACTTTTCCACTTCATGCCTACTTGCCTTCCAATTCTTAATGGGGCCTTACCATTTCGCCCTTCCCTCTTCCCCTCCCCTTTTTTGGGCCTGTCGCGCGGGCTATCTTACGTAAAAAATATCTTGTAGTTTCCTGGGGAACATGAAGAACTAGCAATAGCATCTGCGAAGCGTCTTGTCGGTCTTGTACAGATGATAATAGGAAGCAAATGTATTTTAGGACGATACATTTTTTGTTTAGGGTACCGACGTTTCGCTGGTACTGACTTATCGATGATGACAAATTGCATGTTGGAAAGAGGTAGCGAACTTTTATTTCGAAAATGCCACTGGTTATCCCTGTTTAAAGCAGTATTCCTAAGTTAAGAATATATCGTCAGAAGTAACAATTATTTTTTCCTTTGAAGATAAGTTACTATCAGCTTCCTAATCTTATAAAATAGCGTCCTAAGTTGTATTTTTTCCCCTTTAACTCAAAAAAACTTCCGCAGCGCGACGATAAAAAAGAGGTTACGTTTGAGTGTGGTCGCCACATGCATCATTTCATCCACGAACTAAAGAGACTTCAAACAGTTAAAAATACTGCACTACTCTTTATAATTAAGTGCTTAACACTTTTTTCTTTATTTAGGCCCATATTTTGAATCTGTGTGTACATGAGCTGTTACTTGTGGCGATGATCGAAGATCAGATCATCAGCAATGTCACATGTGATGCTGGAAAACAAACTAAGATAAGTTCTTTTCTCAAAAGCGAAGAAATATCTACTAAACCTTGGGGTAAGTTTCATTTGTTATTTCAAAGCCCTTCCCTGTCTTCTCGTTCCTTACTATTCAGTCGTTTCTCCCCTTCTACTTTGTCTCTTATTTTCTTATCCAGTTTTCATGTCTTCTGTTCTCAGTTTGCAATTGTCACTGCACGCAGTATCATGTAGTTGTGTACATGTAGTGCGAGCATTTCTTTTCAGATGGCTCTTATGTCCTATTTCCATCGTTTTCATATTCTTTTCTTTTTTTCTTCATCCCTCTTGTCCCCTCTCTTCTCTCTCTCTTTTATTCTCTCTTTCCTAACGCTTCTCTATGGCTTCATTTTATCGGTTATGGTTCTCAGTTGTATTGGGCCTGCGTGGTGTGTTCACATTCGTTTAGCAATGCACTTGCCTCTGGAAAGCAATTGCTATGTTGTATTATCGTGTATTAAGCCTGGGTGGTGTGTTCGCATTCGTCTAGCAATGCAGTTGCTTCCGGAAAGAAATTGCTATGTTTCACCTTGGGTGGTCAATAAAAAGCTCAGGAAGTGGTTCATCGCCTGTGTCTTAGAGGCCTGGTATCACTGTGGCGCGTTCAAGCCTGATTCAACAGCTACACTTTTTCAAACACTGAAGACATACTACGAGAGTATCTCCACTGGAACTGAGACTATTCAAGAGGTACAGTGTATAACTTTTTAACCCATTAGCGCTGTCAGTGTGCGTGAGTGAACGCGTGCAAGCGAGTCACGTTTGGTTCTGGTTTTCGCTCTGATTGGTTGAGAATGCAGTGTAGTACGAGAATGTTCAGCCAGTAAAAAATCTCTTTCATCATCCAATACCTAAAAAAAAAAAAAAACTTCTCCAGTTGCCTTTCCTTCTTTCTCAAAATGAAGAAAAATTAAAGTCTTTGATATGAACATGATTTTTGTTTTTGATTCTCTTGCACATAAAACGCAAGTACATATTAGGATTGCGCTTGACCTCGTTTAAGAGGGGGGCGGGAGGCGATGGTAGAATTCGGAAATGGCCTACTAAACTCTGGTCTATTCGTACAGCCTTATAATCTGGTCACTTCTTGGGAGGATTTGCATTTTTTTAAATACTGTTCCTGAACTTAAATGGCCCATCTCTTGCAAATCGTGGCAGTTAATGTTGTACATTTTTTATTATTTTTACCCCAGATATTGTCCAGAATGTCTCTTGAGATAACTCTTGGCCTGCTATCGGCGCTGACCGGCAACCTTTATGGTACTTTCCAATACTGGCTGCAGTCCCTCTCAAGTTGCAACAAAAACTGTCTCTTTGCCATTCAGCGGCAGTTATGCTGCATGCTTCTTCCTGATGGGATCGGATCCTTAGACTATCTTGTCAGGTTAAGCCATGAATTCTCCAGCGAAAACGGCACAGACGAGCCAACAAAACAGAAAGACGTGGAAAAATTATTTCATCATTTTCAAGCGTATTATTGTAAGGCGCTTGTGACTGAGTTGTGGTACCGATGTCCTGAGGTATTGGAGGTTTTCTGCAGTGAGCGACGTGTATCAGTGGAGGAAGAATTGGCGAAAGAGTCTGAGCCTACTGAACTAGTTAACTCAAAAGACGATATGGCATCTGAATGCAAAGCGAAAGGGGACAGACGTACGGAATTTTCTCACCCCACGCAGACAGAGGCAATAAAGAAGAAATGTTCATACCTCACGTCTATTGTTGTTACCGACAAGAGTTCGGATTCAAAGGATCCTCTGTCATCGAGTGAGAGTGCAAGTTTAACATCTGAAACTACTTCGGACAAGGACAGAAAAGGGGAAATTTCTCTTGTCGAAATCACTTGTGAAGATGGTGTAAACGGAGACGCAATGCCAAAAGTGGGTGCATGCCTAACTGCTCTTGATGTAGAGAGGAAAAGCTTGCATTCTAAGGAACATATTTCTTCATTAGAGACCATCAACGTTGTGAAACAAGATTTCGTATCAACCTTGAGGAATGCAAAAGTTGTGTTGCTTTCAGATCACTACGCGAATCTGAATAATCAAAGAGCGCTTCTTGTGGAGATCAGAAAGGTAATGTTGCTGCGGAGATCACGGCAGTTTCTACAGTCGGGGTTAACTAGCAGCCAGTTGAACCAGAGGAAGAAAAATGATAAGAAGCCGAAGACTCAACCGGCCAAGCCGATTGGTTTTTCTGCGAGTAGCAGTGACGTTGGCTCAATGAGAAAACTTGCTAACTCTGGAGAAACTGTAGAGAGTGTTCAGACTGGGAGTAAAACGAATGACGTCGTTAATGAGCTATCAGAGTCAGCGGGTGCAACTTTAGAAGTCGAGGGAAGCTCCAGTAGAAACGATTATAACAGTTCTATTGAAACCCTGGATGGGCCGCGCGGCTCGGTAGCAGACAGAAAAGATGACGATTTAAAGACTATGGATGGAAAAGTCCCAATCGACCTGAGATACGTTGCGACCGATGCCAGCCTGCAATTCCTGGCTGATGAAGAGGAAAAAATCCTAACGGAGCTCGAGCAATTTGACTTGAAGGTGCGTAATCACTGAACATAAGATGAAAGAGTCCTATTTCAATAAGATAAAGATACTTTTTTAGTAGAAACGGGAATAATAGACACCTTTCGGTACAAAATTGGTCAAGAGTACGAGTGACCCTACGAAACCAAGACCGCGGCGACGGCAACGACAACAGCAACGGCAAGTCAACTTAGGCCTTGGTGTAAGACATTGAGTTGATTTTCAAATCTGTGCGTAAAGTGTGAAATGACCAAATTTAAGTTTTCTTTGGAACGGCAATCTGAGCTCGGACACGGTCTCCTCTCTTCAGCTCCAGTCTAATTTCTTGTTGCTTTTTTTCCAGGATCTTCCATTTCCCTCGCCGATGGAATCGGCTCTGACAATAGCAAGCCTAGCCACCTGTTCACACGGTCTCCCTGTAACAGTGACACAACTCTGGGAACTGGGTAGCAGTTCTTTGCAGTGGGCCCAGACCTATGCCCAGACCTCAACAGATTTAAAAGGAGTCCGCAGACTAACTCGGACATACAATAAGGTAGCCTAGCAACGCCTTGTAACAAAATGGTCATGTCTTGTTCAATTTAGAACACTGATCTACAGGAAGATGTTTAAATTAAAATAATTAAATCAAATGCAAAATACTACTCCTTGCCACTTTGTTGGACTATTTTAACTGGATATGTTCGATTATTAAGTGTCTCAAATGTGGCGTCCGTTAGTGTTGATCACGTCCGTTTTCGTCACTCATTATGGCGACAAATGTCCAAAATATCACGCACGTACCATTTGGGCACATATCTTAAAAATTTCGGGAGAAAGGTTAACGTTAAGGTTATATTTTAGAAATTTCAACTACATTTTTGAGAACCACGATTTGAGGTAATCCCTTTTTTGCGGTTAGAATATGGAATACAAAGGAATAATGTCCCTGCGACCATCTTTTTTATAACATGAGTTGTACTTTAAGTGGCTGGGTAATCTTTTAAAGTTAAGCCTTTTCGAAGTTCGCTCTAGCCTTTGGTGTCAGGAAAGCCTCGCAGTCATTCAACTTTTATCTTATCTTCTGCAAGCTGTTCTAGTTTTGCCGACGTTAATACGAGAGTGAAAAACGTAGTTGGTAACCGCATCTTCTTGTAGGGACCTGAAGAAAGTCACACAATTCTTTATACCTCGCAATTTTTCTCGAGTACTGTTCCTTTATTTTAATTTGCATATTTTAATAGGCCCTTCTGAAATTTCACTTAGTTTCTGCTAGTCCTCTCCATCCTTAGTACACGACGTTGACAACGACTTAACGTACGTAATAGGTAGGCTAAGTAGTTGGTACGTGTTGTGAAACACGTTCACTTTACAATTTGTCAAAAAAGTCAACCTTTGCTGTGCTGACCAACATTAAACGAAATAGCACTGTTATTGTTATCATGATTAATTTATGTATGTTTATCTTATCTATCTTGTGCCCCGTGGGCAGAAAGGTTTTGACAAGTGGTGCGTCCATTAATGTCACGCATTTGTGCGGTAGAAAAACGCAGTTAAAATTACCAGAAATTGAGGAATAGTCAACTGATCATTGCGCTAAATCTTGCTTTTGGTGTGAATGTGTTTTGATTTAAAAGGGGGCGGAGAAAGTGAGCGTAAGAATTGGCGTGGAAGTTTTACACTAAAAAGAGGCAAACAAGACAAAAATTCGAATTATGGATAAAGATTTTAATTTATTTTTGACTATTTTGCTCGCTTCTTGAGCAAGCGTAGTCTATAGCTACACCCATTCTATCACTGCAATTTCAATGAATATCCCATAATAGATAGAAATAAAGATATCACATTTATAGCTGGGCCATCAATAAAGCCACCTATTCTATAATGATTAGCCGTATCTTCTCCATCTTATTTGAAGATAATTTTCCCAAAGTGGAAGTTATCGTCTTACTTTCTCCAACCTCCGGTATGGCACAATTCAAATATCTTTCAAGAGTAAGCTGATTTTTAATCAGAAATAATTTGGTAATTAGTTTCTTTCATTTGTTCGTCTTATTAAATTTCTTCTTTTCTTTGAATCTTAATTCAAATTTAAAGACGACTGCATGTTTTTTCATGGTTAGAGATGTCCACGTGCTTTTGAAAGCGTAATTCTGCGTTCGTTTTAGTACGCCGTTGCTCCGTGTTATGAAACAGAACTTAGTTCGCGTTGGCTGTACCTTCTGTTAGTTCTCTTGGTACACATGACTATATCCTTAAAACTCTGCCGGAATTTCTTATTCATTACTCCATAAATTATGGGATTACACCCACTATTCAACATGGCCAGCCATGTGGTAGTAGCAAAGTACTCGTCCGGCCAAGAGTTTCTGCATTTTTCAAAAAGTAAACAGGTCATTCCAATAAAGTGAGGTGCCCAACAAAACATAAATGTCCCCATAACGATGAGAAGCGTCTTCGCCGCCCTTGTTTCTCTCCTAAACTTCTCCTTAGCTTCTCTTTCTTTCGCTTTTTCCTTTGCCGTCGGTGGATCTTCAACCGCTTGTGTGCCTTTCTCGTTACCGAAAGCCACCGGGACGGCCACCATCGTTTGTAACGTCTGTTCTTTTAGTTCGCCCACCCGCGGTGATATCTTTTTACTCTGTTTCCTCGCCGCACGAAGTATATGGAAGTAGCAGAAGGTCATGACCATCAGCGGGGCGAAGAAGCTGAAAGCGAAGATGAACATGGTGTAGGGGATGTTTTCTCCCCAGTTTGCCGTGCAGATTGACTCGTTGTATATGTAGGTGTAGCTGGACCAGCCGAAGATGGGGAGAAAAGCGCAAGTGATGGCGTGCATCCAGACGTAGGTTATCATACCCAAAGCGATTCGCGAGGTCATGATGAGTGGGTACTGGAGTGGCTTGATAATTGCAACGTATCTGTCAATTGATACAGCTGCTAGCGACAGCATGGACGCAATGCAGAATATCGAGTTCAACATCCCGTTGATCTTACACCAAATATCTCCAAACACCCAGTGGTAGGTTATAGAAGATGCCATAGTGAATGGCATTCCAAGGAGTGCAAGCAGGAAATCTGCCACCGCAAGATTAGCGATAAACACGCTGGTGATACTACGAAGACTGTGGTTTCTGTAGATGGCGAGAAGGATCAGTGTGTTTCCTAAAAGAGATGAAAGCATGATGACTAGCAAGAAAGATGCCTGTATGGCAATGGCCACCTGAGAACGCTTGTCTTCTGCGTATACTTCTGACACCATGTCCGCTGTATAATCGCTCGATTTCTCTTGCTCTCGATCAGATGGCGCGAAAATCCGTCCTTTGACTGCCAAATTTGAAAGAAAACGTGACTCAGTGTTTCTAAACGTATATTATTCTTGCCACTGCATTTTTACGTACTAGACTGTGGTTACCAAAGTCACCTCGAGAAAAGTACTGAAATAAAGACTCCCACGATGCCGGTGTGTTGCTTTGATTTCTTGTTCGTGTACGTGCTTTTCTGTATTCCAAGCGCCCTAAATCGTCAGTGTACTTATTTTCCGACGATTCCAGGGTGTCGTTTTTCATAAAATATTCACCACAGTGTTCCGTGATAGGCCGTCTCTATGACTACAACTTGTATATTTTGAAGTTTTCCGTTTATAATGTACTTCTCCTTGTTACTAAAACATGGAAAGCCTCGCTAAAACCACCTCGGAGGCAAAAGCCTTGTTTACAACATCCCCATCATCTGGAATATTGAAGATGCATTTCTCAACGGATACAATCTACGCACTATTTCACCTGAAGTGATGTCGTTGTTTACGCTAATCTGAGAAATCCAAACGAAGGGACCACCTGCCTTGTTTTAAGTAATCTGAAACAAATAAAGGTAAAGTGGAACTATCTAAACGACTAGAGATGTCAACATTACGTTAATTTTTACGTTTGTCAGTGTGGGTAGAGGGAAAAAAAAAACAGGGAAAAAATTAATGTTTGACATACTTTGTTATCAATCAGTGTCCTCACCAATTTTCATGTAGACCATATCTAAATTTTCTGCGATTGCATTTGTATGACAAACGGATATTAATTTTGCTTGTGGTTTTGTTTAAAGAAAGAGTGCATTTTCCACTCAAAAATCTTATTTCAGATTTTTCACTAAAAAGGAAAACTTAAGACGAACGGCTGTGATTCTTTGGTTGAAAAAAAGGAAATCGAACTGTCGTTTGGGTTGCAATTTGTTTTAAACACTAAAAGAAAAAAAACGAAACAAAACAAAATCGTCAATATTTCATTTCTTATCCCGTCATCATCGCTTTTGTCGAAAAGCTCTTTAGAAACAATATCAAAATAGGCTTGATTTTTATACTTCTCTTTATCCCCTGTACCTTTTTTGAGAAGTAGTAGTATTTTGTAGTATAAAACTCGAGTAACACATTTTATCCCTTAGCTTACTGAAAAACTTTCAACTCAGACAAATTAAAGGGTAGAAATACTAAGATGGAATTATTTTTGGTTTCTGAACAACATTTACACTATATATTTACTGTTTTGTCCCATTACAAATTTATGTGCTTCTAACAAATTGAATTGAGCTGAATTTTTCACAATACGGCAACGATTGCTAGTGCGTCTGGTTCTGCATCAGGATTAATTTAAACCTTAAATTTTCCCATATCTCAACCAGATTCAGTAAACTAGGCATGTATAGTAATGATATTCCAGTTTCTGTATCTGTGTATGAAATCCTTTCGTGTGACTCATCTAAACGAGTGCTATTCAGAGGTACTTTATTGTTTTTAACTACGTTTATACAAAACGAACTTCAAAGTAGTTTTTTTTTAATTTTAATATTTGTCAATGTTTGAATCAACGTGTTAAACCCTTCACGCGAATACCATGACGAGCTGTTGCGTATCAGTATGGTTGATAATTCATATATGTATCTTTTTTTATCGCGTGGCGCTTTCCCACAAGCTTATTTAATCCCACAAAAATAACCACCACAAAACTAATAAGACACGGTGGCTCTTGCACGTGTTATCACAGATAAGTAAGGTTTACATAACATTTCTTCTCAATTTTTTTTTTAAATTTGTTCGCGAGCAGTTTTAATAAATCAGCTAACAGTGCCTGGAGTGAAATTGTTATTAACTTCGGACGCCACAAAAAAACACATCAAACAAAAACGTCAAGGGCATGCATACCGTATAATTAGTAACCATTGCTGTTTTAAAATTTGTAACCCTTACACTTTCAGAAAATGGCTGGTTAGCCCTGAAATGAAAAGACACTGATTGTAACCCAAACCTCCAGAAGGTCATGTCCAAAAAAATAATAATGATGTAGTACAACAGACATAACTCCATACTATCATGATCAGTAACTGTGCTGTTCCTATGATTATTGTAAATCTGCTGAGGAATCTTTGTTTATATAACAGTGTAAAAAATATTTGAGCATTAAAAAGCTACTCGGTGTTAGTGAAGAGATCCTTGCGTCATGAAGGGATCAGTCCTATGTTTAAAAACGCAAGGCTAGGTTTTTCAATATCACGAAACAATTTGTAAGCAATTCCCCAGAGAAGACTGAGATGAATTAATTGAAATTCAATATTCACTAAATTTTTTGTTTTGTTTTATTTTATTTTTTCCCTTTTCTCTTCTCTTGTCCCTAATTACGTCGAAACGTTTCTTTGCTTCTTTTTTGTTAAAAAAAAAGTTTGAATTTTTTCCTCATAACCAAGGACGTTTGTTACCCCCTATTGACAGGAGACACGATCGGTAACTACTGACAATTATGCCATATTGAATTTGATAAACACGAAGTATCTTTTTGAGAATCGTGTTGATATCGGATTGTCTCTGTAACAATTTAACTTTAAAGCACTCAATGAGTATAATTTGTCTGGTGCGAGATTTTGCAGTAAAATTAGAGGACTATTAAGGCTTGGGAGTCACGAACCTCGATTTTAAATTTGCCATGAAATTATCAGCAGGCATTGAGAGGTCTAAAAAGACAAGCGTATGTAAAATTTATAAAGTACAACACTGTGTCAGTTCCCAAATGTCCTTTCTTTTAGGCAGCAAAATCTTTCCAGGAATCTATGTTAATTTCCTCTGAGTCCAACAGATATCGAAAAAACGTATGGTCTCTGGGCTTAGGAGTATCAATGCAACAATGTTTTAAAGGACCATTCCAATTATTTTCAACTTGTTTATTCAAATTACGCCCAGTTAAGATACAGGAGTTTCATTCCTAATTAGGTTCCTGCGAAGTGTTCTTTGTGATAAACTTCGTTTCAAAGCACTTGCCCAGGATCATTTTTCTGCCCATTTTTTTATTATTATTTGCTTAGTTTTGTTACACATTTCAATGAATTTTTTTGTACGTTTCGGTACGTTTGAATTCATAACAAAACTGCCGAATACAAAATAACAAGGCAACGGTCACGGTTACAATCCCTGTTAATCAGTCATCTCTGTTTATTTGTTGTTTTGAAAATATTTTTGCAATTGTGCACGTTAAGCGAAGACTAGAAGTTTAGCTTTGTTTCATCTGGACGTAAAATTGTGCTCCAAAAAAATGTCTCCGAAAAATTGTGGAGGTGTACTAGTTGCCATACACTGAACATATTTATAGCTATAATCGATAACCAGTATAAACTTAAAGAGCTCAGAAGGAAAAAAATCAAGACAAATAAAACAAATAAACAAACAAGCACTGAAACAAACAAATCTCGGAAAGGCTTTTCTAAAGATTCGAGGATGTAGTTGGGTAAGCCATTATACAGTTTCAAACCTGATGACGAAAATTTTCAAATTCTAGAGACAAAACTCAAAAATAATCATTGGTAATAACAAAATCACTTGCCTGTGTTTCGCATAATTAGCAAAAATCCATAGAATTTATATTGGATGAAATTCATAGCGTAAGAGATGCCGGTCGCTTTTCTTAAGATGACGGATGTACTAATAATGTAAGAGTATTTTGGTGCGAAAAAGCAATTTCGACCTGGTGGTAGGTCTGACATCATGCTGTGAGGATGTTTCATGTAGGATATATTTCGTTTGAAAAATATTTAATAGGCACTGAACGTGATCAAACTTTTCAAACCTTAGGTAGGATTTTGCAACGGATAGGAACTATTGTTGAACAGAAAACAGTTTTTTTGTTACTTGTTTTTTGGGTTTAATTTCTAAAGGCAGCTCTTACAATGATTTTAATCAACCACAGGCAACTTGGAAGAAATGACTGACCGATTTGTTGAGACTGATTTGTTGTTAAGTGTTCGCTATAGAAAATGAAAATAAAGGCTGTATTGACAAAGCTGTGGGATGCCAATTCACCAATTCATAATTTGCCATGGCACTGGCGCCGAGAAGTGTATGTTAATCAGTCGAAACGTTGATCCAATAACTTTATATTACGTATTATCTGAACAGAAGTTAATTGACGCCATGTTTACTTTTAGCTTAGCGTTCGTTATAATTTTTCTCCATTTTGATACAAAGTATTGGAAAATGTTCTAGTTTTGTACTCGACCCTTGATGCGCATGCATCTTAAGTAGAGCTGCATTTGTTTAAGCTCATATCTCTGTACTGTTTTTTTTTTTTTTTTTTTAAGTGAATATTCCTTACGCTTAACCCGTTTTCGGTAGCCGCTAAGGAGAGATAAGTACTGCCCTGTAAACGGGGTGCTTAATCCATGACTTTTCAATCCCAAGTTTTACATCTCGACATAGTTAATAAAGTGGAATGGTTATGAAACCCGTTAGACATCTTTGTTAGATTTTTTTTGTTACATTTTTTTGAACCTGACCGTGCACAACGTTCAATAGCATTCCCATAATTTTGATCTTACTGACCAATAGAAACTTCGCATTAATTTATTCAGTCACAGAAAAGGATTGTGCACGGTCAGGGAGTTTCCAACGTAAACTACAGCACCGTTGATAACAACTTTGATGTTTGCCGGCTTTCATAACCAGTCTCCTCTACTATGATCTTGAAGGACAAGCACAGATTGTGTGGAGCAATGTTTCTTAAATACTTTAGGTTACAAAATGTCCAGTCATCCTTAAAGTTGTATGAATTTTGAAAATTAGATCGCTTGAACTTTTAATTTTGTTTTAGATATTAAATATCTGTCATTGTCATACTCAAAAGCAAAAAATAACATTCCGTATCTTTGTTTTCATTTTGTAGCGATCTGCAAAGAAATTATCAACTGACTAAAATTTTAATTCACACATTACAATGAGAATGAATAAACACCTTTTAATTAAAAATATGCAAATTACAAAGCGAATTAGATAAAACTTACAAGATCCTGATCACATAAGTTTGAAAGTAACCCTTGCAGAGGTGAAGTCTTTTTTCCCATGTGGTGAAATATTGCATGTTATTTGTTTGCCTATTCCTTTTCAAAGAACGCATATTTTAACCCGCAGTTTTTCTTTAAAGATAGTCATACTGACATGATCCAACACAAAATAATATCCATACATCAAGAAAACTGTTTAACGGTATGTACAAGTCATGCTTATATGAAGTTGAAGATATTACGATGTATTTATACTTGAGAAGATTTAAGTAAGACCTACATCTTTAACACACATGGTCTTTACTACAAGCTAAGCCACGCCAGACTAGTATTTTCATAAACATTAAT